TCGGGATACATGTCAAACATCACCAACGTTTTTTTAGTGATAGGAAGATTTTGTATGTATTTGTTGTGGAAATAATTCAATCCCACATGACATGCAAGTTAACCGGCAAATGAGGTGTGGCTAGACCGGGAATACCAACACTGAGGTAAAACTATCCCTCAGGGGCGAAGCTACGTCACGGACGTTCTACGTTACTACTGAGACGCGCACCACTGTACCACGTATTTCTATGGGCTCTGTGCGCGCTGCTGTGGAACGCCGGTAGAGCCGGTGACAACTCGAGAAAACAACACAAACTCAACTTTGAAGTAATCCTGAACAACCAAATTCATATATGTTACACACGTAGGGCTAATCTTGTTACACTGTTCAGGGGACTCTCAACAACCATCGCAAAGTACCAATTTATGCGAGTTTTTGGTCTTTGTTTTGACCGCGAGGGTTGCCAGGCGGTAGAAAATTCCCGGATGTCCGCCCCCGAGAATTATAATGCATTATTGAAATGTCATATTCACCATTAGCATCGCTAGGTTTGAGAAATCCTTTCTGGAAAACAGCAACTCTAAAACAAACAACAGTTTTATTCACGTAGTTGTGTTATGAATAACAATTTTCAGAGGCAAAGCCCCCGATTGTAAAATGTCAAATTGAATTGAGTAAATTAGAAATAGAATGTACTGCAGTAGAACTGTATGTAAGTCCAAGAACACAAAACAGTCGACTGACTTGTGTGACGAGTTGTTGCTTGCATATAACAGTATTTCCGAAATATCAAAATGAATGTATACAACTAATCAATCCCACAGTTGTAATTCACACCTGTGACAGCATAACATATCATAATCAGACTTTCTCCCACAGACTGCTTATTCTATTGGTACAAAGTAGTTGTGAGCAAAAACAGTGCTGTAGCTATGTTAGAACCAATATAAGATACTGTCACACTGTAAATGGGTTTCAACTGTCCAGGATGGTATGTTTGTGTGTAAACTCATTGTACCATCATTCGTGGGATGTGATCACTGGTTGAGATGTGCACAATGTATCACATGACAGCGACTGGTAGTAAGTGGAAGAAAGTTAACCAAGAAAATCATTTATAGGGATATGTGACTACATTGAAGAAAGTGATAGGAAACAACTGACAGATTATCAACTTTGTTAGTGAGATGAAGGAATACGTGCTGGATACTAATTCCGCTCCAGACGGCAATCAATATCTAAAGTCCTAACTAGGTCGACACTACGGGTATTCTTTATTTATGGCTCAGAGCGAAGGACTTCATGATATTGTGAATTGTTGAAAGAAGACTACCATAATTCGACGTGATTACTCAAAGCAACATGTCAACTAAGGATGATGAGGAAACTATAGAGGACAAGAGAACAATAATAGAAACTGTCGGCAAAATCCATCAAAAGCGATATAAAAACTGCCATCACACTTTTAAAGCATGCGTATTCGATTATCTTCCTGTCGGAAAGGATACCTTTCAGAAAAGAAAAGCATTTGACAAACAATTGTCCAAACATTGCGTCCATGGACTGTGATAATGTCATTGCAGGTCGGGCTAGCTACCCAAATGCACTATAACTTCAGATCAAGGTTTTTGTTAGACAGCCCCTCTTCGATGAGTTTTTACTTCTTCTACTCAGAAGTCCAAATGTCTGAAGCAAAGACGGCTTCTGCGGTTGCTCCAGATGTTTTAGGTACTTTTTACATATCTGATAATATTTTGGTGTTTATGTCGACCACAAAATTGTATACTTAGATGGAAAGAATACATTCGATAGCTTG